AGAACGTGTGGAGGTCACAACCAACTTGTCCTGCCACTTGCTAGCTCGACTTTGAATCCTGAATTGCCACTCTGATCCTACCAGAGCTAAGTCTAGCATTGGATCTAGTCCATTATCAGGCTCAAATTTTGCAATATTTAGATGCTCTCGCTTAAGCCTCACCTGAATTAGAAAAGGTCAATTTTGGATATCCAAAAAAAATCACATGCCAGCCTAGAATTGAAAAAATAAAAAATAGAAAGCAAAAAGAAACAGAAAGACCACAAATCATGAACTGAACTACAGCAGTAACATATGGAGACAAAGACTTACCTGAGTTGCAACAAGATTCACATCACCATTCTCAAATGTAAGAATGCCTTTAGGTTTTATCCACTTGGGGTGAGCAATGCCATTTAACTCAAGCTCTCCAGTAACAGCAAAGTTGAGAATCAAGGGATAAACTATTCTCAACTCTGGGCCTAGAACAAGCTTCAAGTCGGTGAGGCGAATATCTAATTTTGGTTTACTATTTACTTGCTCCATTTCCTTCTTAACTTCAGCCTGTTCACCTGAAATCATAAAGATTCGTTTCTCACATAATGCTAAATAAATTACACACAAAGCATCATGCTGACTAACAAATTAGATGCCTACCGTGGCATAGGAAGTAATCAAACAACAGTTCATGTAACACCACTGTGTAGGCATTTGCACAACTACATAACATAGATCTCCAGCATACTTAAATATCTAGAAAGAATTTTATGAGTACACAGCCTTTGGAAATTCAATGTCATTGGAGGATATAAAATTCAAGAGTCATGAGAAATGAAAAGTTTGATACATTCATTTGGGATAGCAAACTGATTGATCTTCCAGTAAAAACTCTTCACCCAAGTGGTATAATCCCTAGGAAAGATTCGTACAAGGCAGAATAGGGATCCTTGTTTACCATTGAAGGTGAAGAATTATCTTAAACACCTTGCCATATGCTCGTACTAAAGTATATGGCTTCCCATAATTTGTCCCAAACTGGTTTCAACTCTTGGTAGATGGAATCCAAGTTTCAATTTCACGGATAAGGTTGAAGTTCTCACAAGCAGTCTAAGAAGGCTTGAGGGAGGAGAAAGCAAAAGGATTTAAAGGACTTGACAACAGACTTTACCTGGAATATATGTCTTTCACATCGTTTGACAAGATGGCTTTGGCCCTTTGGTGAATGGAGTTAGATTTCATGGATAGGAAGGTTTCAATTTCCTGAATATTGTTGAAGTTCGGACAAGAAAACTCAGGAGACTTTAGGAAGGAGGACACTAGGTTGTTTCAAGAGTTTGAAGGGCTGATGAATTAGATAATTTTTTTTTCCATTTTCTTCTCTGTTTTTCGAGCGGGGGAACTAATACTTAATAGGAGAGTGTCCTAGCTTGAAAATTTTAGTTTGAGATAGAAATCCATAATTAAAGAGGTCAGGCAAAATTAAGAAATTCAACTTCTAAACTTCCCCATCAAATTGCCATTAAGAGACAGAAAGAACTTTGATATGTAAGTGGAAGCAAAATCAGGAGTCATTCTGGGAGACTGCAATCTTATTTGTGGGAGAAGGTGAATTTTGTCGTCTAGAGTCCCTACAAGACTGTTGCTTGAAGTGATGGACTGGAGCCACATTTAAGCCATCAACCCCTTGTGCCTGAGGGACCCTTTAGAAAAGTTCCAAAAAAAAACAAATCAACATGACTTTTTAAAGAGGATATGACAAAACCCAAGGCAACATAGTTCTCTATAGACAGGTTTCAAGATTTTGAGAAATGAAATAGTTGAGGTGCTTTCATCCGGGAGTTATTCTAAACAGGAATCGTAGTTGAACATTCATTGTTTCAATTTCAAAGAAGACCATCGTCTTCTATTTTAATGATATTCAGTAATCAATAAAACACATCGTCTTCTATTCACAAAAAAAATTCAAAGAAGACCAATTTATTTACATAATGGATTTTAGGTCAACAGTCGCTGACCTTTATAAGACCATTGTTAGAGTGGCTAAAAAGGTGGTGCAGTGAAGGAACCAACAATGAGGGTACTTTCCAAGGTTATTTTGAGAGGGAGGGGAAGGCTGGGAACAAGAAGCTCTGGTCACATGCATTGGACTGTTTTGGATTATCTTACGGTTGTGGAAGGATTTAAGCACTGCTGGAGGTAATGGTTTTAGGGATGCCTTACATCAGCATGTCTTAACTGTGATTGTTAATAAAGAACCTAAAGGTTGGTCCATTTGGAGGGATCAGGTAGTAGCCCCTTTCTTAATTCACTTTACTAGCAGATACCATCAGTAGTTTGATCTCCATAACCAAAACTGTGGATACCATTGAACATATCACAAAGGCTTAAACCAAATCGCTGTGACATGCAGCCCATGGAGATGTTCAGCCATTTTTTATACATGCCATGTCTACTGGGGTCCTTGCCAGAAAATATTTTAGGTAATGTTAGTGAAATGAACTCAAATTTTCCAGACAGTTTATTCAGCCAAGGAGTTCTTTCGGGCAGGATTCTATTTTTACCTTCGCTATGAATTTCCATTATGAAAGCTTTTCCACGTACGCCTTCAGTTGTTATTATGAGTGACTGGAGGGTCGTGATTTCAACTTTGTGGAAGCCTCTGTCCAGGAGGAGGATTATACTCAAATTTGATAGTTGTTCTCTTGTGAAACTAGGCCCAATTTGTAACATCCCGGTTTTTTTTATAAAATGAGGATTTTCAGTTTTAATATTATTGCTGATAAAATACAGAGGAAATTTTTAGGATGATGATTAGGATGAATTGTAGAGTTTAATGATATTATGGTCTGGTTAGGAAATTTGGAGATTTCAAACTAACAAGTGGAGCTCAAAAATGGATTCTGTGTGTAAAAACGAGTTCAACAACTATAATCCTGAATATGTTTCGTGTTGGAAGAAAAATACGCTTAGACACCCGAAGTATCAAAGATGTCCACATACGTGTACGAATTGGACAGTTGTTCAAAGCGAAGTGTGTTTTAATTTAAGGAAAGACACATAGGAAGCACAACAAAGCAAAGTGAGTGTGTGTGTGTGTGTTTTTTTTTTTTTTTTTTGGGGGGGGGGGGGTGTCTTGAGAAGTGTCACCATGCATGTATTGTGTGTATTAGAGTATAGATACAAGTGTTGAACACGTGTAGTATTGCATGATATGAAATGCCTAGTAGTTGGTAAGTGTTTGGACCCTTGTCACATTACATGTTTGGACCCAAGTGTCCAATGTCACCTCGTACTTCCTTTTTTATAAATAGGTCTTTTTAGCTTATAAATTCAGCCCCCATGGTGTAATAACCGTAGCCAAGAAAGACAAAAATGAAGCTTTATCAAATGGTGATTTCAAATCGGATTGCTACCAAATTTGAGGATATGGTTCATTTTTTTTTTTTTTGGGAGTGGGCGTGGGAGGGGGAGGGGGAGGGGGACTTGAACCCTTGACCTGACAAAAGCAAAGCCTTTACAAAACAAAGAGTACCATTGGACTAAAGGCCCATTGGTTGATTCAAGATAGTTTTAAATTCATATTTGTTAAGAGTTAATAGAACATTTGAAAATTTGAGGTACGAAGTAATATATAATATGCTCTATCTTTAATCTCTTTGCAAAGATTAAATCCTTGATTCTTTCCGATTTGTGTTCCTTTTGATTGAGTTGTTATGATTCTTAATTTTTTATTGAATTTGTATTGGTATTGTGAGTACGTTGATCATGCACGGTGTGGATTGAGGATTGGATCATGGTAGCCAGTAGTCCAATGTATCACCAATCTAAGAGATCTGTGAGATTAGGGTAAGGTGGGGTGGTTGATGAGGTGGTAGGTCTATTTCTTGGTCTTGCATGACGTGATATGATATGATTATTGTTTCAATTGAGGTCCTAGTTGACATAGGCTGATCAATTTGTTCAATTATCGATTTGATTTAATCCATATAATATTCTTGACATATTGTTTCCTATCGTATTGTATACTTCCTCACTGAGGATTTTGGAGAAAAGATCGTGATTGGAATATTTGATGAATTGGAGATGATATAACTTTTGTAATATGTAAATTGGGAGATGTATTTGTATTTGGAGATTCAATTATCAATTTAATTTTTGTTGAGGAAATTAAAGATCAGTCCGTATATTTGGAGATATGTAGTAAAATTTTGTTAATTGATTTATCAAATAAAGCATAAGAAAGACCAGGGCATTTCAAAAGACGAAATGCTCAGAATAAAATCCTTATTAAATCAATTGTCAAACACAATTCAAAGGATTTTTAATCAAAATCATGATCAAATCAAATCCACCCCATTAAATGAAAGTTTCGTCCTCCAAACTTGCAGTCGATAGATGAATTGCTTTTGCTGCGCACTCTGATATCATATCCACACTTCTTGATACCAGTTACAACTTATCCACCCTAGCAAGCACTCTCCACAGTACCCTAATTGTTTTCACTCTGCATTCTGATAAAATACTAACTGTATTGAATCACTTTTTCCATAACGCGCAAGTCATCATTCTAAATAACAAAACCTAGAACAATCTACTAAATCTTAAACTTATACTCTTCTGATACCACTTTTAAAAAGTCTATAGCAACTTTAAAACTTACAATTCATCCTAATCATCATCCTAAAAATTGTCTATATTTCATCATCAATAATATTAAAACTCCAAATCCTCATTTTATGAAAATCCGGGATGTTGCCAAATTGGTCTGTAAGCTTGAAATGCTACAAAAAGATTTTAGCCTTATTGGATAGCTTCTGAGAAGCTTCTGCTATAGGAACTTCCTTTGTTCAGATGGTGATTTGCAGGTTGTAGTAGGTAGGTGAGATATCCTCCTACATTAAAAGATGAAGAATATTGATCAGGAAATTTTCTTGGTGGACGTAGATGAGGAGTCTTGGGCTCTCCGGGGGGATGTTATCAAAATGACTAAAAGATCCAAGTATGCAAGTTTTTCCATCACTGTTGGATTGGGTGGAGTCTCATGGTTATTTGGTGTTTTGAAGGAGGCAAGCAAGTGTAATGAGTCGACGTCATTCTTAAGGAAACTCCGATCTAACACGTTTCAATTATGGACTAAAGTGAAGTCAAATAGAAATGGAAAATTCCTTACTGTGTTGAAATTTCAGTCTTACAAGAAGAGGGAAAGTATTGTGTTCCTCAAGGAAATGATCACAAGGGATGGGGGAGTTTTCTGAATATGCTGGATGAACTGTTAAGGAGTGGTAATAGTTCTGGAAACAGGACAGTTGATACCAGGGCTATAGTGTCACCGGTAGATTGTATGGAGAGCTCCTCTCTTTTTCGAAAATGGAAATGTGCAGTGATTTGCGAGAAGGGAAGTATTTTTATCCCTTGGAGATGGATAACGAGCATTAATGAACAAATTAAAATCGAAGTTGAGTTGAATCCATTCCAAGTTGATAAGGTTGTTTGCTTTTGTAAAAATAAGGATCTTGCTATGAACATGTAATGTGAAGGAGGTTTCAGCAAAGGATGTTGGGTTGATCAGATTGTCAAAATGGATTCCTGAATCCAACTTCAGAAGGAATAGAATTTCATTCCTGGGTGGATGGTTACGGATTGAAGGGTTCCCATTTCATTTATGAAATGATGAAGTGTTTAGGAAGATTGGAGAGTATTGTGGTGGCTTAGTGAAGGACGACAATAATACTTTGGGAATGAAAAACCTTTTTCAAGCAAAAGTTAAGGTGGGTAGATGAGACAACAGTTTCATTCCCTCACTGTTAATATTGAATTTCAAGGGAAAAGTTATCAGATCATCGTTGAAGTCCTTTTGCGACTTGGAGACGACAGTAACAATCGAAAGAAACTGAAAAGTTGAATGGTTGCACCACAAATTCGTAAACCAGAGTCTGTGGTTGAAGATAATGAAGTGGCAAGGATTGCTACACATGGAGTAGAGTTCAAAAGGGTAGACAAGCAAATTCTATTTAGGAAATTGGGTCACTAGCAATTTTCAGGAAGATAGTAATTAAGGAACCAGTTAATGCAAAAATTAATGGAATCCCATGTTGTTAGAAGTTAATTCAAATTTGAAAAAGTTAGATGGGAGTTTAAATGTCAGTAACATGAGACCTACAGCTGTTTATGAAGAAAAATATTTGTTGGGCTGTTTTAAAGAAGGGGGTTTGATATTGTTAATGGGGCTTCTAAAATTGAAGATGGGCCAGGCTAATAAAGCCCAAATTTCTTTTGGGTCATTTGAGAGGCCAATGACCATAAGTTTTTCGATTCTTTTGTGGGTGGGCCATTTAAGAGCCAAACGGTTGGAGTGTCTTAATTTTCAAAATGGCCCAACCTAACATCAGTAGCTCAAATACTTGAGGAATGCTTTGAGTACTGACTTATTTCATATTAGGGCAAACCTATCATTTAAGGCAAACAAGGAGAACATCGATGGTGAGCAGGAATCAGAGGAAACGATGGGAGCGGAAGACAAAGAGAAGACACATTCGAAGGATTACAAATTGAGTATTATAGAGGCTACATCATATCTTTATAATATGATTGATAATTTTGAGGTGTTTGTTGAGTTTAAACAGGGAAGGCAAGTTGATGATGGCTCCAAGGTTTTTGAAAAATTCAACTCTTTTGTGTTTTGACTAAGGTCACCCTGTGGGGTTCTTCTTCGGATATGAGTTCTCAGAGTGAAGATTTGACTTCGAATATAAAATACAAAGAAGAGGAGATGGAATGCCATATTAATTATCAAGGGACTGTTTGATGAGGAAGATGGGAAGGGTTTGGTGAATGAGGGAAATCAAAAAGAATCAACGGGGGTTTCTACTTCAAAGGCAGATTTGCAAGTGAGTTTTCCTCCTGAGTATCAGTCTAATGCTTCCACCTGCACTAATTTTCAGGCTAATAATTCAGGGGTTTTGGGTTGTGTCTAGTTTGGGTGTGAGAATTTGCTTTCAAATCGTCACTTTCTTGAGAGGGAATTTCTTCGTCTTTTTCTATTGAGAAGGATGCCCCAAGCTGGGTAAACTTTCCAGTTTAGGCCTGTCTGAGGAATATGGAGAAAGTTTCTGGAATTCTTTGTTGTGTATTGAGGATGGGAATGTAGTAAATAATTTGGTTTTAACGTCCGCAAGTAATTGTTTGCAATTACCAAGTGGGAGAAATTTGGAGACCATATGAGGAGGATAGTCTCAATAAGGGAAAGGATTTTTCACCCGATGAAGAGAAATGGTCTATATTGAAGAAAGTTTGAAGGGAGACCAGTGAGAAAAAACAAGGGAGTTAGGGAGCTTAGGAATTTGCAGCCAAGTGTTAATTATGATAGTGTTGTTTCGGGGAGGGTAAGGGGGTGATGAGAGTTTGATAGGAGATTCTGTCAAGGGTAGTGTCAAATTATTGTCCGATTGTACTTGATTCTTGTTCTTTTAGATTTGAGAATATGTGGTTAGAGAACCATGAGTTTAAATGATAGTTTAGGGAGTGGTAGAGGGAAGGAAGTGTTGAGGGATGGAAAGGATTAAAGTTTTTGATAAACTTGGAGCATGTGAAATAAAAGTCGAAGAGATGGAATAAGTTAGTTTTTGGGGATATTAGAGTCGTGAAAAATATGACTATGAATAGTATTGGCGAAATTAATAGGATTGAATAAAATGGTAGATTGGATAAAAATTTGCAAAATGAGAAGTGGGAGCTTAGAAATAATTTTGAGGAAGTGTTGTTTAAGGAGGAAATAAGTTGGAGGCAAAAAGTTAGAGTGAAATGGTTAAACAAAGAGATAATAATTCAGAGTAGTTTCATCGAATTGCAACTAGAAGGAAGAAAAAGAAATTTATTGATAAGTTTTGCTAAGAATAGTAGGGTAGTATGTGTAAATTGTTAATAATAAGAGGGTGTATGTGTAATTCTTATTATTGTAGGTTAACTATAAATACAAATGATGTATGAGAGCTAGGTTAAGTTTTTAACCTCTCTTTTTCTCTCTAATAGTGTTAACTCTCTAAATTTAACATGGTATCAGAGCAATACGATCATAAATATATATTCTAAATAAATTAATTTTTTGTTCTTGGTGTACTGTGTTTGTCGGAGTACGATTGTGGTGGTGTTGTTGGTGGTGGTACTGTTGTGGTGTCTCTGTATTGTAAAGCTCGGTCATTCGTCGTCGTTTGTGTTGTGGTACTGTTGTGGTGTCGCTTGTCGTGGTGGAGAGGCGCAGACGAAAACCAAGGTGATCGTCGTCATCGTGGTGGTGTGGCTGTTGTGGTGGTTTGTCATTCGTCGTTGGTCGTAGCTGTGGTCGGTGATAATTGTTGTTGTGTGGTTCGTTGTGTTATACTGTCGTGGTCCTGCTTGGTGGTGGTGGTAGTTGACTGGTGTGGTTGACGGTGTGCTGCTCATCGAGTTTTGGTGGTAGCTTCTGTTCTGCTTCCGTAGTGCTTCGGTGGTGAAGGCGGCATTGGTTGCTGCCTGGTTGTTGGCTGAAGTGTTTGCATCGTTGAGGCGGCGTAGCGAGCAACAGGGTTTCGATTGAAACCCTAGTAGTGGAGAAGACAATCCTTAGCGGGTCGGTTTGGCTCAGCGGGTTAGGATTGTTCTTAAGCCCAGTCCATTTCAGTTCAGCCCAGCCCAGCCCAGTTGAGATAATTGGTCCAATCCAGCAGCAGACCAGTTCTTTCCCGGTTTAGACCTGGTTCTTCACCGTCTGGTCTGGTTCAGGACCTGATCAATTCCGGTCCAGCTCTGTTCAGTTCTTCCAGGCTAGTTTACACCAATTTAGTAGTACAACAACTGTTTCCTGACCGGTTCAAACCGGTTTTACTCTGGTTCAGCGATCCAGCCTCAGCAAGGCCAGTTCAGTGGTCCAGAGGGCTAAACTAGTTCGGTTCAGCGGTTCTCTAGGCTGGTTCAGCCTTCCAGCAGCCTCCTCTTCTTCGGTTCAACAGTACAATAGGTGAATCTTGTCCGATTCAGTGATCTACTGATTTTCTTTTTCTATTTACTGCACTCTTATGGAACTCAAGCAAGACACTGGGTTGGTTACTATTACACGAGAGGAGTATGCTCAGTTCCTGTCTCAGCAACAGGCTGTCCCATTTCCCTCCACTGCTACTTTTGCCCAGTCAGGTATTGCTTCCACTTTTTTATTGTCCTCCACTCGTAGTCCCTAAATCATAGACTCTGGCGCTTTTGACCACATGACTAGTGCGTCTGATATTTTTTTTACTTATCAGTCTGCTACTTCCACACATAGTGTTACTCTTGCTAATGGTACTTTTTCTAAAATTTCAGGTCTGGGGACTACTCACTTGAGTCCTGATATATCCCTATCTTCCGTGTTATTTGTTCCTCAGTTTCCTTTTAGTTTACTTTCCATTAGTAAGATTACCCGTTCTCTCAATTGCTCTGTGACCTTTTATCCCTCTTATTGTGTCTTTCAGGATCTTAAGACAAAGAGGAAGATTGATACGGGGCATGAAACTGGTGGCCTATATTAACTTGATTTTTATTCACCTACTCGGGCTCTACAGACCTCATTGTCTCATTTTCAATGGCATTGTCATCTTGGACATCCCTCTCTCAAGAATCTGAAGCGCCAAGTTCCCAGTCTTAGTTATGTGTCGTCTTTGTCTTGTGAAGCTTGTCAACTCAGTAAGCATCACCGTGTGTCATTTCAGTCTAGAGTCAATAATCGTGTGTCTAGTCCATTTGAATTGGTACATTCTGATGTATGGGGTCCAATAAAGAATATTGCATCTAATAAATATCCTTATTTTGTGTCATTTGTGGATGATTACTCTCGTGTAACTTGGTTGTTTTTGATGAAAGCTCGGTCTGAATTATTCTCTATATTTGAGACCTTTCATAAAGAAATAAAAATTCAGTATAGTTGTCATATACGTATTTTACGTTTTGATAATGCTTGAAAATATGAATCTGATCTTTTTTCAGCTTATCTTAGTAAAGCTGACATTATTCATCAAACTTCTTGTACTTACACATCTCCACAGAACGGTGTTGCTGAACGCAAGAACCGTCATTTGTTGGAAGTCACACGTACCCTGTTATTTCAGATAAATATCACCCGATATTTTTAGAGTGATGTTCTTACTGCTTGTCATCTTATTAATCGTATACCATCTTCTGTGTTAAATGGGGCAAAGTCCATATTCCGTCCTTTTTCCTGATAAGCCCTTATTTTTTCGGACTCCTAAGATTTTTAGACGTGTCTGTTATGTTCACAATTTGGACTCTGGGTTTGACAAACTTGACCGTCGAACTACCAAATGTGTATTTCTTAGTTACTCCCGCACGCAGAAAGGGTATCGTTGCTACAGTCCTTCTTTGCACCTATACTTTACTAGTGTCGATATCACATTTGAAGAATCTGTTCCATACTTTCCAGCACCTTTTTAGCCTTTGGATCTGGACGTTGGATCATTTCCTGTACCACCATCTCTTTCCTCATCTTCAGATATCCCGCTGTCCACTGTGTTACCATCTACTTTACCTCTCCATGTCTACTCTCGCCGTCCTCGCCCATCAACTGAGGTGTCCGTACCGTCTTCCTTGCCGCCTTCTGATCCTGATACATCAGGTAATTTAGACTCTTTACCTATTGTTCTTTGCAAAGGTACTCGTTCGTGTGTTACTAACCATCCTATTTTTCATTTTGTTTCATATGATGCCTTGTCTCCTGTCTTCTCCTGTTTTACTTCCCAATTATCTGCTATATCTATTCCTAAGCATTTACAGGATGTATTATTTGATCCGGGTTGGAGGAAAACTATGGAGGAGAAGATGGATGTTTTACATCATAATGGGACTTGGGATCTCGTTCCTTTACCCCCTGGTAACGAACTGTTGATTGTCATTGGGTGTATATTGCTAAATTTCGTTCAGATGGTTTTGTTGAGTGTCTTAAAGCCCGACTTGTTGCAAAAGACTTTACTCAGACTTATGGTGTTGATTATGAGGAGACTTTTTCTCCTGTTGTCAAAATTTCTTCTGTTCGTATCTTGATTTCTTTGGCTGTTAATTTTGATTGGCCTTTATTTCAGCTAGACATCAAAAATACCTTCTTACATGGTGACTTAGTTGAAGAGATATACATGGAACAGCCACCTGGGTTTACTACTCAGGAGGAGTATGGTAAGAGTCTATGTCGGTTAAAGAAATCTTTGTATGGTTTGAAATAGTCACTGAGAGCATGGTTTGATAAGTTTTCAGATGCAATTTTAGAGTTTGGTGACTTACAGACTATACTATACCCCATGAGCTCTTACTGTGGTTAAAGAAAGGGTTATTGGATTTGTGATCGTAGGGGTTATATGGATGGTCCATTCTTTCTTGTAGGGGTACTCCTTTTTCTTATAAAGGATTCCTAGTACTACTTTGCCTTTGTACTCTCAATTTCATCAGTAATTTATTGTTTCTTGTCAAGAAAAACTTGTGAGAGGATATTTGCAAATAGCATCAAATTTAACTTTCAAGCCCCTAGATAACTAGAAACAATTCAAAATCCAAGAGAGGAAACTGACATTGAAACTTATGGTACAAGGTAGGTACCTACATATGAGGGCAAAGTGATTTTGATTCCTTTATAGTTTACGGACCTACATATGAGGGCATAGACATAGTATACAAAAACTTACCTGATGGTTGTAGAAATGTAGCTCTTGAAGCAGCAGGCTTTAAATTGAGAAAACGTGAGACATATTTTGAAGCAACCGCTTGATTGTAACCGCCACTTGGAAGCTTCGATTGATTTGATCCGTCTCTATTAAAAGGAGCAGTTCCACCACCCTTATCATGTGGTAAATATGCTTCTCCATGGCTCAACTTAATCTTGCCAGAAATGTTTGGTTGCAATATGGAACCAGTTAATTGCAACTGAGTATCAACCTGACCGCTGAAAATAAAAAGACACGTCAGTTCTTCAAGGACACAGTGTAAAGGGAAAACATGAAAAGATATGAATCTCATTCTAAGACATGATGAAAAGATCACAGAGAGAGTTGTGAAGGGGGGAAAAAGGAAAAGGCAATCACTTTAGGTGAACAAAGCACTGATATATTCATGAAGGGTCATAGTTTGGTCCACACAAACTGAGGGTGCTGAGAGGGGCTGGAGGGTTGGGGTTGGATTGGGTACAAAACTTAATCTTTGCCATTATGTGCACAAGTTGGTTGTCCTCGAATTCAATTCCGCAACCTTCAGGTTGTTAGTACAACACTTTCATCACTGCACCAGGTATTGGACCATACATATATAAAGAACAGCGACCGAGAGCAGAAAACCAAATAAGAAGGATCTCGTTCAAATGTCAAACATCAAGACAAATCATTCACCCAACTGTAAACCAAGATAAATGCGACCAGTGAGTTACCAAAACCAACTATTTCTTATGTCCTGTGTTGGAGAGAAGATAAGGCACCTTAAAATATTCTTTGCCCGCACTTCCAGTACTTCACATTTCAAGTCAATTTTATCGCCAAGGGATGCTTCACTGGTTCTGAGGGGCAGGTTTCCTTTCAAGGAGAGTTTACCCTTTCTACTTACTCTACTCTCCAAAGAACTAATGCATAACCTATTCGAATTCACGAGAACTGTGCCACCGAAATTTGTGAGTGGTTTACGGAGTACAGGAGAAGATATCGTTGCCCTGTGGAAAGATGCAGATCCATCAAGCACTGGTTGCTCAACTGTACCTCTAACCTATTTTAAAACAAACCACATACATTAGAAAAGTATTTCAAAATCGAACATTTGAACCTACTATATCCCTGTTTTAATTGAACAGAAATTGTTGTATTACGACGATAAAGCAATCCAAGATTTTACAAACTTGAACTACCTGGAGCATAACTTCAGCATTGCCATGGAGCCAGTTGGCATAAGGAGATAAAGCTGTTAACAACATCATGCCCCCATCTTTAATATCAGCATCAATCCTAACTTCTCCTACATCCAATATGTTCCAGTTCAAATCTTTGAGGCTTTCTGCCAACCGAGTATTCCAGTCTTCTTCAGTTCTTTCTCTGAAGGATTTCTTATCACTAGCTTCATCTGCAGACTCTTTACTCCTCTCCTTGCCCCAACCACGAATCCAAGTTGCTTCACTTTTGTCTCTTTCCACATTTTCTCCATCCAAAATGTTGTTTTCGGCAAAGGTTACAGGTATACTTCCTTGAATGTGAACATGGCCATTTTGGATAATGGGTTCAAACTTTGCATTGAACAGAAAACGACTGGTTGAGGTTAGGGAGGCAACAATTTCAGCTCGCCCAAGATCAATGCCCCCCATTGCACCATCCAGGAGCCTTACTTGCACATCACATTCAGGTTTAGCAAGGCTTCCTCTAAGATCCCCTTCCATGTGCAGTATCCCCTTTATTGGTGCTAAAAATTGCCGCAAAGAATGAACAGCATCAGTGGCTGAAGTTTCGATAACCTGAACCAAAGTAGGGACTAGACTAACAGGAAAATTCAGAACAGCAAAATGCAAATTGGTTTTTGGCCCAAATAAAGTCCCATCTGCATGGATTGTGGCATTATCCTTCTGGATAAAAATTTTCTCAAGGCGCAAACCATCATCATTGCTGTAAGCACCAGCTGCTAGAACACGTTGAGTTTTGTATGTTCCCCATTCCCATTCCTCCCCATGAAAGTCAAAATCTGCCTAAAAATACAAATATGAAAAAGACAATTAGAGGACAAAATCTGAAGGGCGGAGAAGTTAACAAACAATGCAATTCCACTGCTCCTACTGAACAAATTCTTTTCGGAACTTTCTATTTTGCCAGCAATTTATGGTGCATTAAGATTATAAAAGAAAATATTTAAACATATGATTCCAGGAAGAAGCAAACAGACTCACAAGATTAACTGCATGATATTAGTATTTTCCCATGCAAAAGAGAAGAGTATTTTGCAAATGCAGAGCATAGAGGTAAATTATGTAGTCTTACAGAGATTATAGCTTATGTTTATCCTACTCATACAAAAGCACACACACATTTGCTTCCATCAAAGAAATATTAGAAGTGCGCATTCACACTTTTCCGATTGCTCAGGTGGACTGGCAAAAACGAATGAAGAACCTTCATGCACAATTGGTCAGGACTCAGGACGCAGGAGCGAATTTTCTTTAACAAGTTAATAAACAGAATCAAGATATCATTGACTAACAATTAAATATGAATTCAGAATCACCTCGCAATTTCACGATAATCATGTAACCCAGCAAGCTCAATTTTCAGTTTATAGCAAGAGAGATGAGTACCTTAATGTTATTGGTCTAAACACAGCCTTTAAATGACCCCAATTTCAGACAGACAAAAAAATTGCAATGTGCAAATCTAATAGCTTGTGTTTCAGCTTCAAATTAACATGTGAAATCCAAACTATATTGCTTTGTGAAAGATTTCCAAGATACTTACCATTGTGTCTCCATTGCCTCCACCACTTGCATCTAGAGAGCCACACCAGCGGCCTTTAAGTTCGGCTAACCCTGGAAGATTGAAGTCTTCAGATATAACTTCATCAGATGGAACAGAATGCCCCCGAATATCCTAGAACAAGTTATTTAACCAAGGCAATGTTAAAAAACCACATGGAAACCTCGAAAACTAAAATTTTCACTCCACAGTAAGTCTTATTTGCACGACCAGATTAAAGAAAAAAGGTAACCATAAATCACATATCATTCCAAAAACTTTACCCAGAGGAATCTAGCGGAGCTTATGAGGATAGAATTACTATTTCAGGAAATACCTCAAGCAGCTTTTGAAGGCTTTCACCATATAAACCCACAGACTGCAAACTTTGTATGAAGAGGTCCTGGAAATAAGTTAAGCAAGGCATGCAGAATCAGCACCTATAATCAGTGGAAAAAGTTGTCCCCACAGAAAATGAATTTGAAAAAAAGTTAACACATTCACACGCCAACCGCAGCGTAGAACTATGGAACTGAGATCCCCTTGGCTGTTCAGCCTTATCTAGGACTATATTTTCAGTTTGACAAATCCAATTCTACCAGCAAAGAAATAATCTTAATTTAAGATGCTCAAAACTAGATAATTTAAAAAAAAAAATATTTATGGCCTACAAAATGACCCAAAAGATTCCAGTTTGAATGCAGAAATTCTAAATCGTTACAAGCTTCATTCTTAAACTTCCAAGCTCCCATACAAATTTCATTTTTTTCCTTTCTGGGACCTCTTTGCAAACAGAAACTATTAATTGGAAAGCTTCCAAACCATTTGAATATATTACCCCCACACGGTACTGGTTTTAGAATCCAAAAGAGCTATCAAACAGAGTAAAGAAACTCGATGGAAAGGGAATCATGTTAGAATATAACGTCAGTGAAAGGCAATACTGACAAGAGAAAAGTATGAAAATGAAGCTGAAAAAATGGCGAGGCACTCATCATAGATCATGTAGGATTTTATCTGATTGTATCCAGTTGAAATTATAAAAGTGATATTAGGGTTAATGAGGAAGAAGAGAATGAGAAAAAGAGAGAAGAGTGACAAAGAAAGAAAATAATCAATCATGTATAGGCTAGGTTGCCCTACACTCTTATTTATAACTGAGTAATACTTAGGTAATTATACTATTACCCACACCAATTAACTTATGTCTAATAGAGAAAATAAGAACTGTAACATATACAAGTATCACAATTCATTCAACAAGGAAACAACAACGAAGGTCCCATGGAGGCATCCGATAAAAAGAGACAATAGTGAAAAAAACTTCAAGAATTGGAGGACTTCGTTTAGCAAACTGAAAGTATACATGTCATTTTGTAATATTTCCATATTCATCATGGCCTGGTGCTTGAGCCCTAGTGGTAAAGGTAGGGCTACCAATGAGTAAGCACAAGGATTTTTATCCAATCATCTATCACTGAAAAAAAGGAAAAATATTTCTAAATTCATCGTGTCATTTTCTCCATTGAACCTCCTCAACAATAAATAAAACAGTACATACAAGTTTCTATCACATTTTTTTCTGCATGAAATTCAGTGCTCACAACTGATCACTGTTACTGCTAATTATTAGGCCAATACAAGGCCATTACCCATTTTTAGTTTCCTGATCCAGGGGGCTGGGGGAGGGGACTGGAAACAAACCCAACCTTGGGCATTCTTTGCACAAAGTGGGTGTCCCTCATACTCAAACCTACATCCCTATAATTTATAAGATCATTTGCCCGTAGAATAGCCAAACCCTTCAAATACAACATAATTTCCAATTGTACACCAGCATATATTATAGCAAACTAAAAATGTTCACATCAAAATATAGAACTGTTTGGATGGCTTTCCACAATTGTAATTTTGCTTTTTCTCTTTCCTAAGAGTGAAAATGGAGTTGATAATAATAGATGAATTCCAAGTTCAATTCTTATAATACAGGTTAATATAAATGTTTTTCTTTTCGGTAAGTTAATATGAAAGTTATACCTTCAGTATATTACTAAGACCATCATATGACTACGATGCTAGCTGCTATCAAACCTAACTCCTGGGATGGGATACTTGGAGTCTATCTCTGCTTCCATATGCTAATAAGTTACTCACATTCAACTACCATGACAGTTAAGATTTCCTTCACATTTAAGTAGAGAACAACCTTTGATCGGGATTGAACTGCAGGATCAGTACTTCGAGAAATAAGTCTTGCAAGTGGAAGCACCTCAGCAATTTCAGCTCGAGGAACATCAAGTCTCATTCTCCATCTCCCCATGGAAGATATCACACTGCCAAGATGACCTGTCATTGCTCTTCGGAACATGCTCCCTCTTTCCTTTCCAGAAGGGTTTCGATCTCGCGTGCCGGGCAGCACATATTCACCTTGAAGCTCGTACTGGCTATTGCTTTGTTCCAAAACAGTTTTCTCAACAGTGATCTACAGGAGGAAATAAAGACCAGCGATTAGATGAATACAAAGGGCAATGTTATAATATGTACAGGAGCAAATTTGGGTAGTTCTCAGCTAAATAACCTGACACAAAAGTATGGAGCAATACGCCAAAAAGAAATTAATTTCAGGGAAGAACTCATTCACAAACATAAAATCATTAGTATGTCTCAACCAAGCCAAAAAGGGGAAGAATTAAAGAAGCAATGCCGGCATTCTGTTTGTTTCCATAATTTTTTAATGTGAAAATTGGAAGGTGAGGAATAAATTGGAGACATTGGAGAGAAAACCAGTACAGTAGATAGCCAGTGTATTTTGACCATTTCTATGGCCCAAGTGAAATCCAAAGCAAAATTTCCTCCTTATCAACAAAGATAATAGTTCTGCCAAAATATAAATCCACAGTACTAAATAGTAAATCTAGTTGAAATTTTTTTGTTAAATAAGTCAAAAGCAACTTTTTACGTCCTTGTCCATTATTATTAAAATCATAGATGGTAGAAGGTAAAGCATGTC